CTTTCTCTGCCTCTCTCTGCCTCTCTCTGTCTCTCTCTCTGCCTCTCTCTGCCTCTCTCTCTCTATCTCCCTCTGCCTCTGCATGCTTGGAAGATTCTGCGTCCTGCCAGAGCTCCTGGCTCCCCACCTCGCGTGCACAGAGGCCTCGTGTTTCACCACCCAGACCCGAGCCTCATAGAGTGAACACGTTCATGACCGTTGTACCCGTTATTTTGTTTCGTTTATTGAGTCTTTTGAGTTCAACAGCAGCTCTCTCTCTCTCCCCTTCGCTGTGAGTACTTTGTTTTCCTTCACGTGGTGCCGGATTATTTCAAATTGTTTGTTGTTTCCCTCCGTCCCTACGGCACCGCGCGCCACGTGGGCTGCTCGACCAGCCTGGGGCCTCTGCCCCCTCCCCCCTCCTCCCCCCTCTCTCTCCGTTTCTCTTTTCCCATCGCGGCCTTGTCCCTCTCTGGTTCTTTACCAGGTGACTCCGTACCTATGGCACTCACCACCACCACGCCCCCGGGTCTCCTGGTTTAGCGGCCTGGAGTCTCCGCTGCTGCTGCTGTCTCCCCTCCTCTCTCTTAGTTTCACTCCTTCCCTCACAGCACTCCTGCATCTCTCACTCTCTCGCTCGCTCTCTCGCTCGCTCTCTCGCTCGCTCTCTCGCTCTCTCGCACGCTCGCTCGCTCTCTCGCACGCTCTCTCTCTCTCGCTCGCTCTCTCGCACGCGCTCTCGCTCTCTCTCGCACGCTCTCTCGCTCGCTCTCTCGCTCGCTCGCTCTCTCGCTCGCTCTCTCGCTCGCTCGCTCTCTTCGCTCGCTCGCTCTCTCGCTCGCTCTCTCGCTCGCTCTCTCGGTCGCTCTCTCGGTCGCTCTCTCGCTCGCTCTCTCGGTCGCTCTCTCGCTCGCTCTCTCTCGCTCTCTCTCGCTCTCTCGGTCGCTCTCTCTCGCTCTCTCTCTCGCACGCTCTCTCGCTCGCTCTCTCTCTCGCACGCTCTCTCGCTCGCTCTCTCTCTCGCACGCTCTCTCGCTCGCTCTCTCGCTCGCTCTCTCGCTCGCTCTCTCGCTCGCTCTCTCGGTCGCTCTCTCGCCCGCTCGCTCTCTCGCTCGCTCTCGCTCGCTCTCTCGCTCGCTCTCGCTCGCTCTCGCTCACTCTCTCGCTCAGTCTCTCGCTCACTCTCTCGGTCACTCTCTCTGTCTCTCTCTCTTGCTGTCCTGTTAAGCTTTTCCTTCCCCTTTCTTCTCCTGCCCTCTTGTGAATAACTTTCTTTTGGTTTTTTGATTATTTTTGGGTGATGTTTTCTCGTCGCGCGCTGGTGTAATGCCGCCGTGCATCATGGCGCAGTACCCCAGGTTGGAATCTCTCTCGCTGAGGAACGGCAGACATTTGTTTTCCTCCGCCCGTCGAGGCCGTCGTTTACGTGGACGAGGGGAGCATGGTGGCGCGCCTCGTGAAGACACGGGACTCAACGTCGGGGTGGAGCTGTTAGTGCCGTGCACCCCGCTCTCTAGGCCCGCCGTCACGGTGCTTCTCCCCGGCGCGCCACCCTTCCTTAAAGGCGCCGACCTGCAGCGAGACCTGCGACGCTTCGCCACGGCGGTCTCGCGCATCGTCGTGCTGCTGCCCTTGAGGACGAGGGGCCCGAAGCTGGCGCACGTCAAGTCGCTTCAGCGGCAAACCTTGACGACGGTTTTGAAGGGCGGCGACACGGACTTCGACGTGACCCACGAATACACGATCGATGGTCACGGCTACACGATGGACGCCTCCACAGCCGTGCCGCGGCGTTGTGGGTGTGGTGGTGCCGGCCACACCTGAAGATACTGCCCGGCCAAGATGAAGGAGAACGCTGCACAGCCTGCACCACAACACAAGCAATCATCATCAGGTGTGAAATCCACAGCAAGAACATTTGAAAATATTCAAATCTGTGAAATCCACAGCAAGAAAATTTTAAAAAAATTCAAATTTGTGAAATCCACAGCAAGAAAATTTGAAAAAATATATCTGGTGAAATCCACAGCAAAAAAATTTAGAAAAAAAATCTAATTTGTGAAATCCACAGCAAGAAAATTGGAAAAAAATTCAAATTTGTGAAATCCATAGCAAGAAAATAAAAAAAAAATTCTAATTTGTGAAATCCACAGCAAGAAAATTTGAAAAAAAAATTCAAATTTGTGAAATCCACAGCAAGAAAATTTGAAAAAAAATTCAAATTTGTGAAATCCACAGCAAGAAAATAAAAAATAATTCTAATTTGTGAAATCCATAGCAAGAAAATTTGAAAAAATATATCTAATTTGTGAAATCCACAGCAATAAATTTTGAAAAAAATTCTAATTGGTGAAATCCACAGCAAGAAAATTAAAAAAAAATTCAAATTTGTGAAATCCATAGCAAGAAAATTTGAAAAAATATATCTAATTTGTGAAATCCACAGCAAGAAAATTTTTTAAAAATTCAAATTTGTGAAATCTACAGCAAGATGGACGAGTCCATCTGGCAAACTGCCAAATCGCTGTCTTTGGTGCTGACGTTAGGAAAAACTGCCACTTTTTCCAAAATTTCTTGCTGTGGATTTCACACCTGATGACGATTGCTGCTGATTGTGTTGCAATTGAAACGTCGTGAGAATTTGTATTGTTTAATATTTTTATTATTTCCCTTCTACGTGATGACTTTACCAAAAGAACCAAGAATATGAATCCCTGCAGTCACAAAAGCTTTGAATCAAAATTTAAAACAATCTCTGTCTGGGTTCAAGGTCCCAGGTCCTGAAAATGCAGTCGTCAGGGTCTCCACATACGCAGACGACACATTCGCTGTGATCAAAGATATTCTTGGTTCTTTCGGTAAAGTCATCACGTAGAAGGGAAATAATAAAATAAAAACTATATAAAACAATACAAATTCTCACGACGTTTCGACTGCAATACAAGCAATCACCAGGTGTGAAATCCACAGCAAGAAAATTAGAAAAAAAATAAAAATTTGTGAAATCCACAGCAAGAAAATTTGAAAAAATTAAAATGTGTGAAATCCACAGCAAGAAAATTTGAAAGAAAATTAAAATTTGTGAAATCCACAGCAAGAAAATTTGAAAAAAAAAATTTGTGAAATCCACAGCAAGAAAATTTGAAAAAAATTCAATTGTGAAATCCACAGCAAGAAAATTTTTAAAAAAATTCTAATTTGTGAAATCCACAGCAAGAAAATTTGAAAAAAATTCAAATTTGTGAAATTTAAGGTCCCAGGTCCTGAAAATGCAGTCGTCAGGGTCTCCGCAGACGACACATGCGCTGTGATCGACAATATGCAGGACGTCTCCGTGCTACGAAGAGGCCTCTAGCGCCAAGGTCAACTGGCAAGTGTGTGACTCTTCCCCCTCTAACCCAGCAGCTTAAATATACGCTGCCAAGCCTGGTGGTGTTTCATTCAGACGCTGTCTTTCCTACATACCTGTTCTTCACCTGAGGACGGCTGCTTGCGTTGTGGCCGAAACGTCATGAGAATTGTATTTTATTATGTTTTATTTTTATTATTTCCCTTCTACGTGACTTTACCGAAAGAACCAAGAAGATATGTGGCTCTATGTTTGGAGTCACAGGGTGCCGTGCGTTCTGTGCTGCTCCCAGGAGGAGTCGGTTGGCAGGCCGAGGGCGTAAAGTACCTCGGAGTTCACCTCGGGGGGAAACCCTGAGTTGACCAGAACAATTGGACCGAGCTGGGAGATGCGTTTGAGGTCAAATTGATGGCCTGGGCACGCCTCGCCCCGCCAATGTCCTTCAAGGGGCGAGTTCTCATCGGAAACAACCTGTCAGCCTCTGTGCTGTGGCATAGGGCCAAAGCCCTCCAGCCCCCGGACTGACTACTCACGAGGACAAACCGGTCACTCGCCCGCTTTGTGTGGCACGGCAAGCACTGGCTGAGGCCGGGGGTCCTCCGCCTGGCGGTGGGTGAGGGCGGCCAGGGCCTGGTGGATGTCTCCGCCACGCAAGGGTGGCACAGGCGGGTTTTCTACAATCGGCTTTAATTGTCTCTTTATATTAAACCCGATCATCCGAGATTGGGAGAAATCTGGTTTGATTGGTTCTAATTGCAGAACCGCACTTCGCCAACTTCTCAACGATAGGCTTCATCCATTCCAAACTAAGGAGCTCACTGGCGCCCACGATTGTGGAGAAGCTCGTGTTCATCAAGACCAACCTGCCCGCCGCATTCTACAACTACCCCGTGCCCGACGGCCCCCTGAGTACGATGATAGCAGCACCAACGAGGAAGCAGCCTAAGCCTTGGATCAGAGCTTCGTGTTCATTGAACCAGGTTTTAATTCCTCCAAATCGGGTTTAATTGTATTCAAGAAAAAACTCCGATTCCTGCCGCTGGAAAAATCGGGTTTTTCCCACCCATGGCGCCAGGGTGATGAGCTTCAGGCTCGAGGCCGTGAGGCATCTGCTGTACGAGCAGGAGGAGCTGCCCTGGATGTCGCCGGCCCTCAGCAGCCTGCTGAGGGACGTGGGGGGGGGGGGGGGTTGCCTGGGGTACGGGAGGGAGCTCTTCCTGTTGGACCTGGCCCTGGTCGACTCCACGCCTCTTGGACGCGTGGCGGAGCCTTGAATGGAGCAGGGCGGCGAACCCGCACTGCGCCCTCAGACATTTCATGCACGAACCCCTGTCCTGTAATAGCCTCTTCAAATGAATCGGGGAGGAGAGAACGCCGGCCCTCCGGTTCACCGCGGCGGGGGTGCGGACAATCGGAGCCACGACCGCCACCCCAAGTGGAAGACCGCTGCCCAGATCAGCGGCGCTACGGGGCTCGGCTCCACGCTCGCCGTGGGAGGAGCTCGCAGCAATGCGGGAGCTGCGGCTGAAGCCGGAGGCACTTGAAGACGGCGGCGCCTCACGACCTTCCTCCTCCTTCCCGGAGTAGCGCATCTCCTGCGCCCGGCCTCACTGGCGCTGTGACTCGGGGAATCTGCTCAAACCCGCAGGCTGCAGAGATGTGGCCCTCAAGAGTGAGTGCCCCAAAGACAACGCTGTTACGCGTGCCGCGTCAAGGCGCTGCGTTGTCAACAGCTGGCAAACCTCCCGGACACGAGATGGAGGGACTTGTTCTCTCCGCCGATCGAGCCCCCCCCCCCCGAGTGGAAGCAGCTGTACAAGCCCCCCGTGGCGAAACGCTGCGGGGGGCTCCAGTGCAGCAAAGTCACCCCGGGGTCGTCAGATCTGTGTTGCGTTCTGCGGTGCAAAGGTGGGTCTGGCCCCCCGGTACTTGGGGTGTCCACGGCTGAACCCGATGTTCCGGCTCCTGGGATCCATCTTCAATGAACTGGGGGTTTCAAGTTCATTGATTAGGTATAGCCCTGTGAGCCATTCGGCTCTTGAATCGGGTGCAACCGCAACAAACAAAAAAACAAAAACGTGAACAAGAAAACATCTTAAAGTGAATATGTGACTAAGTGCAAACAGAAAATCCAAGAAAAGACAGCAAAATATTGCAGAAAAAGCAGCGTACACCAACGCTGCGTGCAAAAATCCCAGTGGGATGCAAGTCAAACAACAACAACCACAACCACAAGACAACTTAGATTAAGGCCATCAGTCTTACTCCGTACTACAACAAACAAACATGGCAGAGGTCGCAAACGGGTTTTGATTCCTTACCCGTACCCGGCCGCACCAGGGTCGCAAACGGCTACCCGTACCTGTACCCGGCCGGGTATGGGTAGCCGGGTATCGGGTAGGGTACGGGTATCAGGTACCCGTTTGCGACCTCTGAAACATGGCCAAACCAGCTGGTTCATATACGGGGTGCCGCCTTACCCGGGCGAACAATCGCCACGATCTCGCAAACTTTGTCTGCGCCCAAGCAAAGATGGCCGTTTACAAGACCCTGAAAACAGATGCTGCAAGGCGACTAACGGACGCTGGATGCTCAACGAGGCGATGCTGAGGGGCCTGCTCAAGGCGCGCCTCTGGCTGGAGCACGCCTCGTACCCCTCCCATGCTGGGGACGTGCCACGCCGTGTTCCTTGAATGGTGGGGGGCCGCTCAGGCCCCCCTCTGCACCAACACAAACGGTGCACCGACGACTTTCACGTTTGGACCGGTCGACTTTAAGCGGGCGATGTGCGTGAGGACGCGGTGCTAGCGTGGCGCGTGGCGCGGTTTTGCAATGGCAACGTTGCTGTACATCAGTTGCTGCTGGCAGCAATAAAATTGGTTTAAAAGTCTCTGTCTCTGTCTGTCTCTCTGTCTCTCTACCTCTCTGTCTCTCTCTCTACCTCTCTCTCTGTCTCTCTCTCTCTCTTTGTCTCTCTCTCTTTGTCTCTCTCTCTCTCTACCTCTCTACCTCTCTGGGTGCGTTCAGGGCAAGCCCCATGGGCAGCTCCGGGTGGGCCGGCACCGGCCGGAGTGCCGGCGATCGCCGCCGCCTCGGAGCCGAGCCGGACCCAACCCTGGGGCAGCGTCGTCAGCAGGCGGTGCAGGTGGTGCAGCAGCTGCATGCGGTGCAGCAGCAAGCGCAGCAGCAGCAGCTGCTGCAAGTGCTGGGATTGGCTGGAACTTGTAGCGGAGTTGGAATAGGAAGTGGTGGTGGTGGTGTTGGTGGAGCTGCTGGTGGAGGTGGTGGTGGTGTTGGAGGTGGTGGTGGTGCTGAAGGTGTTGGTTGTGGAGGTGGTGATGGTGGTGTTGGTGGAGGTGGTGTTAGTGATGGTTGTGGTGGTGATGGTGGTGGTGAAGGTGGTGTTGGTGGAGATGGTGTTGGTGGTGGTTGTGGTGTTGGTGGTGGTGGTGTTAGTATTGGTGAAGGTGGTGGTGGTTGTGGTGCCACCACCGAGGTGAAAGCTGTGCGGGAGGAGCGTTGTTGTGCCGTGTGCGGGGACCAGGCGAGTGGCTACCACTTCAACGCCATCACCTGCGAGGGATGCAAAGGCTTCTTCAGGTTAAAACATAAACTACACTACACTATACACTATATACTACACTATACACTATATACTACACTATACACTACACTATACACTACACTACACACTATATACTACACTATACACTACATACTACACACTATACACTATACTATACACTACACACTACTATACACTACACTATACACTACATACACTACATAATACACTACACTATACACTACACTATACACTACACTATACACTACACTACACTGTACACTACACTGTACACTACACTGTACTCTACTACACTATACACTGCTACACTATACACTACTACACTACACTATACACTACACTATACACTACACTACTACACTATACACTACACTACTACACTACACTATACACTACTACACTATACACTACTACGCTATACACTACTACACCACTACACTATACTACACTACTACACTATACTACACTACTACACTATACACTACACTATACACTACACACTATACTATACACTACACTATACCCGCTACTGTGCGTGTCGCTGCAGGAGGATGGAGAGGCGTGGGTCTGCCCTGCGCTGCCCCTTTGTGGGCCGCTGTGACGTGACACTCGCCAACAGGCGGCAGTGCCAGGCCTGCCGCTTGCTGAAGTGTCGCTCAGCAGGAATGATGCCTCAACGTGAGTGGCGGGGTCTAAACTACACTACACACTACACTACACACTACTACACTATACACTACACTATACACTACACTATACACTACACTACACACTAGTATACACTACACTATACACTACACTACACACTACTACACTATACACTACACTATACACTACACTATACACTACACTATATACTACTACACTATACACTACACTATACACTACACTATATACTACTACACTATACACTACACTATACACTACACTATACACTACACTACACACTACACTACACGCTACTACAATACATTATACACTACTACACTATACACTACTAAACTACTACACTATACACTACACTATACACTACACTATACACTACACACCACACACTACACTATACACTACACTATACACTACACTATACATTACACCATACACTGCACTATACACTACACTACACACTACACTATACACTACACTATACACTACACTATACACTACACTACACACTACATTACTACACTACACTATACACTACACTACACGCTACACTACACGCTACACTACACAGTAGTCAACATCTCTTACCCCCCCCACCTCCCTGGCAGTGATCATGACGGATGAGGCTGTTCACCGCCGCCGCGACCTCATAGCCCGGCGCAGACGAGAGAGAGGAAGCCACTCCTCATGTACTGTACCACCTCTACACACTGTACACCAGTGTACTGCACCACCTCTACACTGTACACAGTGTACTGTACCACCTCTACACACTGTACACCAGTGTACTGTACCACCTATACACTGTACACCAGTGTACTGTACCACCTCTACACTCTACACCAGTGTACTGTACACACCTCTACACTGTACATCAGTGTACTGTACCACCTCTACACTGTACACCAGTGTCTCTGTATCTCTCTGTCTCTCTGTGTCTCTCTGTGTCTGTGTCCCTCTCTGTGTCTCTGTCTCTCTGTGTGTCTTTCTCTGTGTCTCTGTGTCTCTATGTCTCTCTGTCTCACTCTGTGTCTCTGTGTCTCTCTGTCTCTGTGTCTCACTCTGTGTCTCTGTGTCTCTGCCTGCCCAGGTGACACATCTCCCGACGTCACCACGAGGTGTCCGCACGCTCGCAAACTGCGGAAGCTCTCCCCAGACCCCCATCTGAGCTCAACCACAAGGGGTGGAGGGGGTGGAGTGGGTGGAGGTGGAGTGGGTGGAGTTGGTGGAGGTGGAGTGGGTGGAGGTGGAGGGGGAGTGGGTGGAGTGGGGAGAGTGGGAGGTGGAGTGGGAGTGGGAGGAGTGGGTGGAGGAGGAGTGAGTGGAGTGTGTGAAGGTGGAGTGGGAGAAGTGGGTGAAGGTAGAGAGGGGGGAGTGAGTGGAGGTGGAGTGGGTGGAGGTGGAGTGGGTGGAGGTGGAGTGGGTGGAGGTGGAGTGGATGGAGTGAGGGGAGTGGGTGGAGTGGGTGGAGTGAGTGGAGTGGGTGGAGGTGGAGTGGGTGGAAGAGTGGGGGGAGTTGGAGTGGGTGGAGTGGGTGGAGTGGGTGGAGGTGGAGTGAGTGGAGGTGGAGTGGGTGGAGTGTGTGGAGGTGGAGTGGGGGGAGTGGGAGAAGGTGGATTGGGAGAAGGTGGAGTGGGAGAAGGTGGAGTTGGAGGTGGAGTGTGTGGAGTGGGTGGAGGTGGAGTGGGTGAAGTGGGTGGAGGAGGAGTGGGTGGAGTGGGTGGAGGTGGAGTGGGTGTTGGTGGAGCTGGTGGAGTGGGTGGAGTGAGTGGAGGTGGAGTGGGGGGAGGTGGAGTGAGTGGAGGTGGAGGTGGAGTGGGTGGAGTGGGTGGAGTAGATGGAGGTGGAGTGGGTGGAGTGGGTGGAGTGGGTGGTGGTGGAGTGGGTGATGGTGGAGTGGGTGGAGTGGGGGGCGAGCGGCTGCTGCTGCTGCGTCTGGCCCAGGCTGTGCTCTCGGCTCACCGCCGCACCTTCGACTCCTCCTTCAGCAGGTTCCAGCACTTCAGGGTGAGCCGTGGGGAGGGTGGGGAGGGTGGGGAGAGGTGGGGAGGGTGGGGAGGGTGGGGAGAGGTGGGGAGGGGTGGGTTGGTTGGTGGGGAGCATGGAGAGGGTGGGGAGAGGTGGGGAGGGTGTGGAGGGTGGGGAGAGGTGGGGAGGGTGGGGGAGAGGTGGGGAGGGTGGGGGAGAGGTGGGGAGGGTGGGGAGGGTGGGAGAGTGGGGAGAGTGGGGAGGGTGGGGAGGGGTGGGTGAGTGGGGAGGGGTGGGGAGGGGTGGGGAGAGTGGGGAGATTGGAGGGCGAATTCAGACGCAGCTCAACCCATCATTTCCCTCCATAGAGACCCACAGAGACTCAAAGAGACCAACAGAGACCCACATACACCCATACAGACCCACAGAGACCCACAGAGACCCACAAAGACCCACAGAGACCCAAATAAACCAACAGAGACCCACAGAGACTCAGAGACCCACAGAGAACCACAAAGACCCATACAGACCCACATAGACCCACAGAGACCCACAGAGGCCCACATAGACCCCAGAGACCCACAGATACCCACAGAGACCCACAAAGACCCATACAGACCCACAGAGACCCTCAGAGACCCATACAGACCCACAGAGACCCCCAGAGACCCATCCATAATGATGCTGAGAATCACTGTAATTATGCCAACAATATTGATGATTATTATAACGATAATTACAATCATAACGGTGGTGGCGATGATGACGTTTCCTCCGCTCCGTCTCCTCCGTCGTAGCCGGCTGTGCGAGAGCCGACGTCTGTGCCGGGAGCTGAACACCGGCACGGGGTCGCTGGATCAGCTGGTGGATCAGCTGGTGGATCAGCTGCTGGATCAGCCGCCGGATCAGTCGGTGGATCAGCAGGTGGATCAGCTGCTGGATCAGCCGGTGGATCAGGAGGAGGAGGTGTGGGGGGGAGTGACTCCGCTCCCAGCTACTCAATGCTACCGCACGTGAGCGACTTGACCACGCACATGATCCAGCAGGTGATCGCCTTCGCCAAGGTGACGCCGGGATTCAGGTGAACTGAGATCAGCAACACTCGCTCAGACACTCACTCAGACACTCACTCACTCTGAAACTCACTCAGACACTCAATCAGCCACTCACTCAGACACTCAGACACTCACTCAGACACTCATTCACTCTGACTTTCGTTCAGACACTCACTCAGACACTCACTCAGCCACTCGCTCAGCCACTCACTCACTCAGACACTCACTCAGACACTCGCTCAGACATTCACTCAGACACTCACTCAGACACTCACTCACACACTCACTCACTCAGACACTCACTCAGATACTCACTCACACACTCACTCAGACACTCACTCACTCAGACACTCACTCACTCAGACACTCACTCAGACACTCACTCAGACACTCACTCAGACACTCACTCAGACACTCACTCAGACACTCGCTCAGACACTCACTCACTCAGACACTCACTCACTCAGACACTCACTCACTCAGACACTCACTCACACACTCACTCAGACATTCACTCAGACACTCACTCACACACTCACTCACTCAGACACTCACTCAGATACTCACACACTCACTCAGACACTCACTTACTCAGACACTAACTCACTCAGACACTCGCTCAGACACTCACTCAGACACTCACTCAGACACTCACTCACTCAGACACTCACTGATCCACCAACTGATCTACCGGCTGATCCAGTGACTGATCCACCGACTGATCCAGCGGCTGATCCACCCACCCCCTCGTGTGCTGTGCCGGCCTTTAAAGGTGCTCTCTAACAGCACTTGCAATCTACAGTCTATTAAGGCGATACGGTGGATATTTGTCTCTGCTTTTGCCTACACGTGTTCCATGTGTGTGTGTACGCGTGGAGCCCACATGTCGCTGGAGGCTACAGCCAGCAAATTAACTAGGCCTCACTCAGGCTGTGCCACGTGCACTATTAACTAGACCACACTCAGGCTGTGCCACGTGCATTATTAACTAGGCCTCACTCAGGCTGTGCCACGTGCACTATTAACTAGGTCACACTCAGGCTGTGTCACGTGCACAATTAACTAGGCCTCACTCAGGCTGTGTCACGTGCACTAGACCAGCCGAGGTAGTCAACATCTCAGCATCGAACCCACGACTTCCTGCGTACCAGGAGAGATAGTCAACATCTCAGCATCGAACCCACGACTTCCTGCGTACCAGGAGAGATAGTCAACATCTCAGCATCGAACCCGCGACCTCCTGCGTACCAGGCGAGATAGTCAACATCTCCTAGCCAGCGTGGGTGTCAGGGTCCAGGATCGACAGTACGACCTCCTGTACACGAAGCGAGGTAGTCAACATCTCCTAGCCACCGTGGCATTAGGTCCACTGATTAAACCCACGACATCCTGCCTCCCAGGTGAGGTAGTCAACATCTCAGCTTCGAACCCACGACCTCCTGCGCACCAGGCGAGGTAGTCAACATCTCAGTGTCGAACCCACGATCTCCTGTACACCAGGCGGGGTCAACATGTCAGCGTCCAACCCACGACCTCCTGTATACCAGGCGAGGTAGTCAACATCTCAGCATTGAACCCACGACCTCCTGCGTACCGGGCGAGGTAGTCAACATCTCAGCGTCGAACCCACGACCTCCTGTGTACCGGGCGAGGTAGTCAACATCTCCTCCACGTCTCTCCACCCCGACCCCCGCGCCCGTCAGGGAGTTGTCCATCGAGGATCAGATCGCCCTGCTCAAGGGTTCCGCCTTCGAGATGGTGCAGATCCGCTTCAACAGCGTCTACGACGCGTCGACGCGCACGTGGGTGTGCGGCTCGCTCGTCTACAGCGTGGAAGACGCCGCCCAGTGTGAGAGAGCGTCACCGTCATCACCGTCACCACCACCATCACTACCACCATCACTACTATCACCGTCACCATCACCGTCACCACTACCATCACTACTACCATCACTACACCATCACCACCATCATCACTACTACCACTACCATCACCACCATCACTACCATCACCACCATCACTACCATCACCACCACCACCACTACCATCACCACCACCATCACGACCATCACCACTACCATCACCATCATCACTACTACCATCACCACTATCACCACCATCACCACCATCAACATCACCACCATCACCACCACCATCACGACCATCACCACTACCATCACCATCATCACTACTACCATCACCACTATCACCACCATCACCACCATCAACATCACCACCATCACTACCATCACCACCACCATCACTACCATCACCACCACCATCACTATCATCACTACTACCATCATCACCACCATCACTATCATCACTACTACCATCACCACTATCACCACCATCACCACTATCACCACCATCACTACCATCACTACTACCATCACCCCCATCATTTCCATCATCACTCCCATCACTAGCATCACTATCATCATGAGCATATATATCTGTGTCTTTATCTGAGTGTGTCTTTCTGTGTCTCTTTGTGTCTCTCTGTCTGTCTATCTATCTGTCTCTCTATCTGTGTATCTCTCCGTGTCTCTATCCATGTCTCTCTATCTGTCTATCTGTCTGTCTCTCTATCTCTGTCTCTCTATCTGTGTATCTATCTGTGTGTCTCTCTGTCTGTGTCTCTCTGCGTGTCTCTCTCCGTGTCTCTCTGTCCGTGTCTTTCTCTATGTCTATCTGCCTGTCTCTCTATCTCTGTCTATATGTGTATCTATCTGTGTGTCTCTCTGTCTGTGTCTCTCTCTCCGTGTCTCTGTCTGTGTCTCTGTCCGTGTCTCTGTCCGTGTCTCTCTGTCCGTGTCTCTCTCCGTGTCTCTCTGTGTCTCTCTGTGTCTCTTTCCGTGTCTCTGTCTGTCTCTCTGTGTCTCTCTCCGTGTCTCTGTCTGTCTCTCTCTCTGTGTCTCTCTCTGTGTCTCTCTATCCGTGTCTCTCTGTCTGTGTCTCTCTGTTTGTGTCTCTCTGTCTGTATCTCTGTCTGTCTCTCTCTCCGTATCTCTCTGTGTGTGTTTCTCTCTCCGTGTCTCTCTGTCTGTATCTCTGTCTGTCTCTCTCTTCGTGTTTCTCCGTCTGTGTCTCTCTATCTGTGTCTCTCTCTGTATCTTTCTCTCCGTGTATCTCTGTCTGTGTCTCTCTCTCTGTCTGTCTCTCTGTGTCTCTCTATCTGTGTCTCTCTGTATCTTTCTCTCCGTGTCTCTCTGTCTGTGTCTCTCTATCTATATCTCTCTATCTGTGTCTCTCTCTCCGTGTCTCTCTGTCTGTCTCTCTGTGTCTCTCTCTGTATCTCTCTATCTGTGTCTCTCTCTCTATATCTCTCTCTCCGTGTCTCTCTGTCTGTGTCTCTCTGTCTGTGTCTCTCTCCGTGTCTCTCTCCCTGTCTCTCTCTCTCTGTGTCACTCCGTGTCTCCGTGTATCTCTGTCCGTGTCTCTCTCCTTGTGTTTCTCTCTCCGCGTGTCTCTCTGTCCGCGTGTCTCTCTGTCCACGTGTCTCTCTCTCTTTCCGTGTTTCCGTGTCTCTCTCCGCGTTTCTCCGTGTCTCTGTCTCCGTGTCTCTCTGTCCACGTGTCTCTCAGCGGGCTTCAACTCGGGCTTCGTGGTGCCCATCAGCAAGTTCCACGACGACCTCCGCGCCCTGCACCTCGCGGACGTCGAATACGCCCTGATGCAGACCCTAGCCCTCTACTCCTCAGGTTAGACACAGATAGACACACACACAGATAGATAGATATACACACACAGACACACATAGACACAGACACACACAGACACAACACAGACACACACACACAGACACAACACAGACACATACACACACACAACAACAACCGCCATTCGCCACTAAGTGGCGGTGACGTCACCACGACGCTTGTGCCAGGCCATGTGCACCTTGAGGCCACGTGAAGTATCGAATGCCCGCTGGCAGGAGGTCACGGGGCAGACCCAGCAGGTGCTACGGGTCGACTGACCGAGATGACTGGCTGATGCACCACCTGTGCCCCCTACTGTACCAACTTGCTGTGCTTTAGCCACCCGGCGCTCCGCTCGTTGTTGTGAGCGTCGCTCCTCCGCCCTCCGTTGTTGTTAGAGGGCGACTGCCTCCAACTGCCCAGTAGCGTCCTTCACGAGCCTCCTCCACAGAGACCGATCTTGACATCGCTGGTACCAGTCATCGGCAAGTCCACTCAGCTCCACGTCCTCCTGTACCACATCACTCCATCTCTTCTCTAGCCCGTGTCGCGCCCGTTTAGCCCCCTCGATCCGGCCGAACAAAGGTGGCTGGGTATGCGGGGCTACATGACCCAGCCAACGCAGCCTTGCCTGCCGGAGGAGCTCACCGATGGGACTTTGCCCAGATCTTTCAAGGATTTGTGAGCTCCTCACACAATCTAGCCTGGTTAAACCCAGGATGGATCGTAGGCAGGCCAGCCTAAATGTTTCCAACCGGCGAAAATGCTCCATTAGGGGGGTCCACAGACACACACACACACAGACACGCACACAGACACACACACAGACACACACACACAGAGAGACACACACACAGATAGATAGACACACACAGATAGACACACACATAGATAGACACACACACAGACAGAGAATACGCCCTCATGCAGGCCCTGACCCTCTACTCGTCAGGTAGACACACACACAGATAGACACACACACAGATAGACACACACACACAGATAGACACACACACAGATAGACACACACACAGACACACACAGACACACACACAGACACACAGATAGACACACAGATAGACAGCCACACAGATATACACACAGACAGACACAGATAGACATACACACAGATAGACACACAGATAGACACACACAGACACACACACACAGATATACACACACAGATAGACACACACATACACACACATACACATACAGATAGACACACACACACAGACACACACACAGACGCACACACAGACACACACAGATAGACACACACAGACACACACACAGAGACACACAGATAGACACACACAGAAAAACACACACAGATAGACACACACACACACAGATAGACACACACACATACAGATAGACACACACACATACAGATAGACACACACACATACAGATAGACACACACACACACACAGATAGACAGGGTGAATGAGTAGGTTTTTGAGTGGGTGGGTGAAGGAGTGGGTGGGTGAATGAGTGGGTGAGTGGTTAAGTGAATGGGTGGGTGGGTGGATGGGTGAGTGGATGCGTGGGTGGATGCGTGGGTGGGTGAGTGAGTGGGTGAGTGAAAGTGTCTTGTGGTACTGGGAGAGACAAAGGCGGCCGGGCGTGGTGGTTCTGGAAGCCACCCACCCCCTCTGTGTGTGTAGCCACAGTGCCGGTAGCCTTCATAGATGCTGCTGATACTCGATTACAGCACTTGGCCCTACAGCGTGTTAGAGGCTACACGGGGATCTTTGTCTATGTGCGTGTCTGTGTGTCTCTATTTGTGTCTGTGTGTGTGTCTCTCTGTGTGTGTGTCTGGGCGTGTCTCTGTGTGTGTGTATCTGTGTGTGTCTCTGTGTGTGTCTATGTACATGTCTCTGTCTCTCTGTGTCTGTGTGTGTCTATGTACATGTCTCTGTCTCTCTGTGTTCAGACCGTCTGGGCATGTCTATGTACATGTCTCTGTGTGTGTGTGTATCTGTGTGTGTTTCTGTGTGTGTCTGTGTGTGTGTCTCTTTGTGTGTGTGTGTCTCTGTGTGTGTCTATGTACATGTCTCTGTCTCTCTGTGTCTGTGTGTGTATATGTACATGTCTCTTGTCTCCCTGCGTCTGTGTGTGTCTATGTACATGTCTCTGTCTCTCTGTGTTCAGACCGTCTGGGCATGTCTATGTACATGTCTCTGTGTGTGTGTATTTGTGTGTGTGTCTCTGTGTGTGTCTATGTACATGTCTCTGTCTCTCTGTGTCTGTGTGTGTCTCGGTGCGTGTCTATGTACATGTCTCTTGTCTCTCTGTGTGTGTGTCTGTGCGTGTCTCTGTGCGTGTCTATGTACATGTCTCTGTCTCTCTGTGTTCAGCCCGTCTGGGTGTGTCTATGTACATGTCTCTGTCTCTGTGTGTGTGTCTCTGTGCGTGTCTATGTATATGTCTCTGTCTCTCTGTGTTCAGACCGTCTGTGCGTGTCTTTGCACATGTCTCTTGTCTCTCTGTGTTCAGACCGTCTGTGCGTGTCTATGTACATGTCTCTGTCTCTCTGTGTTCAGACCGTCTGTGCGTGCTATGTACATGTCTCTGTCTCTCTGTGTCTGTGTGTGTCTGTGCGTGTCTCTGTACATGTCTCTGTCTCTCTGTGTCTGTGCGTGTCTCTGTACATGTCTCTGTCTCTCTGTGTTCAGACCGTCTGTGCGTATCTCTGTACATGTCTCTGTCTCTCTGTGTCTGTGTGTGTTTGGGCGTGTCTATGTACATGTGTCTGTCTCTCTGTGTCTGTGCGTGTCTCTGTACATGTCTTTTGTCTCTGTCTCTTTGTGTTCAGACCGTCTGGGCGTGTCTCTGTCTGTGTGTGTCTGTGTGTGTCTATGTACATGTCTCTGTCTCTCTGTGTCTGTGTGTGTCTGTGTGTCTGTGTGTGTCTATGTACATGTCTCTGTCTCTCTGTGTCTGTGCGTGTCTATGTACATGTCTCTGTCTCTCTGTGTCTGTGCGTGTCTATGTACATGTCTCTGCCTCTCTGTGTCTCTCTGTGTCTGTCTGTGTGTGTCTATGTACATGTATCTGTCTCTCTGTGTCTGTGTGTGTCTGTGTCCGGCAAAACAACCTCCTACCTCCTCGCGGTGCCGGACGGGCAGCACTGTCATGGGCAGTGCTATGGGGGGAGGGCCAATGCCCATTGGCCTCTCCCCTCATGGGGAGAGGCCAGTGGCATAACGGGGGCTCTGGACGGGTGCGAGGGGCTGGTAACCCCTCCACCTTCAATTAATTACCATGAAACCACAAATTAAACATAAACCTGTAACTAATAAGCTTGTGCCGGAGGCCCCGGGGGGTCAGGCTTTTATGACGTCTCCTGGCCAAACCCCATTTGGCGGAGCCAGGAGATTGAATCTTCACCCTCGGGGCTCCTCCAGAAACAACGAAAAACCATTGCGGATGGCCACGTGGAATGTTCGAACGCTCACTGCGGAGGAGAGGCTGCCACTCCTTTGTCGGGAGCTGGACCGGTACCGCCTGGATCTCTGTGGCATTCAGGAGGTCCGGTGGACCGGTTCTGGCTCCTGCCACCATGAGGGGTGGACAGTCCTCTACTCGGGGCAGGAGACTGCCAAACAACAGGGTGTGGCTCTTCTTCTGAACAAAAGAATGAAGGGGGCGTGGGAGCGTGGCGGTGAGGTGTGGGAAGCTGTAAGCCCCAGGATACTTTGGGCTCACCTTCCCATCAACCGGAGGCGAGGAGTGGTGGTCGTGGTTACTTATGCCCCCACCGAAGACGAACATCCGTGGAGGGATGCAGGCAAAGCTGATGAGTCAGACGCTTTCTATGACCTCCTGTCACAGGTGCTGACTAAAGTGGCCACTCGGGACAGAGTCATCTTGTTGGGTGACTTCAATGCCCGAGTTGGTCATGATGCTGGCACCTGGTCTGGAGTGATTGGAAGGCATGGGCCAGATCAGCTCAATAACAACGGTAGGAGACTGCTAGATTTTTGTGCAGCCCATGGGCTTGTAATTACCAACACGCTCTTCCGGCATCGGCGCATCCACACAACATCATGGATGCATGCCGGGTCCAAGCAAGAACATCTGCTGGACTACATAGTGACGGACCAGCGGATGCGAGCCCATGTCCTTGACACCAGGACCTACCGTGGAGCTGATCTGCCCTCTGACCATCGACTAGTCATCAGTAAGATGCGCCTGCCATTCTTCCACTCCGGTGGTGGGTGTACACCCAGGACCCCATTCCAACCAAAAGTGGCCTGGTCTCAGTTAGCTGATGAAAGTTGCAAGCGAGAATTTCATCATCGCTTGCAACTGGGGTTGGCATCGTCCCCCACTCCGCCTGATGTCGAGGGTAAATGGGCGAGGTTTAAGACTGTGATTCATGCAGCTGCAATGGCTGCTTTGGGTACACGGTCCAGACCTCCCCAGAAACCCTGGCTGACAGAGGAGGTGTTCAGATTAATTGAGAAAAAGCAACAGGCCCACTCTCATCGGCTACAGCATCCCACGTCAGAAAATGAGGTTTACCGCAGCCTTCGCTCGGAGGTTCGGAGAGCCGTAAGGCGCTGCAAGGATGGGTGGTGGTCGCGGGTTGCTGAGGAGATGGAATCTGCCTCAGTGGCCCGCGATCACAAATCACTATTTAACTCCATCAAAAAAGTAACCTGCAGCACCACACCTATTACCATCATTAGGGGAAAAAAACGGTGATCCAATCTCCGACCCCCAGGAACAGGTTTGCAGATTTGCTGAGCATTTCTGTGAGGTCCTGGGGGAGGGAAAATCTCTCAGCCAGGAAAACATCATGGCACAAAGTGGGGATAACCCTGCTGAGGCTTCGGTGCCTGAAATATTGGAGGAGGTCACCCCCTGTGAGTGGCTGGCTGAGGTGCCATCTCTTGAGGAAGTACTGAAGGCTATCCGGAGTCTGAAACCAAGAAAGGCACCGGGCAGAGATGATCTCCCAAGCGAAATGCTGAGGGAGGGTGGCGCTTGTGCACAGACTGCCCTATAAAACATCATAACAACAGTCTGGACCGCTGGACGGGTACCGCAGGATTGGAAGGATGCCCTGGTGGTCCCCCTCTTTAAGAAGGGGGACCGCACAGACTGTAACAACTACAGGGGCATCTCACTCCTCAGTGTGCCGGGAAAGGTCCTGGCAAGGATTACTCAACATCGCCTTGCTCGGCACGCTGAGGAGAGGCTTGCGGAACCCCAATGCGGTTTCAGGAAAGGACGGTCCTGTACAGATACCATATTTTCTGTCCGTCTGCTACAGCAGAGGTGTAGGGAATTCAAACAAGACCTACATCTCTGCTTTATTGACCTGGTCAAGGCATATGATACCATCAGTAGGCCTGGGCTCTGGGTTGTTCTTCATGCTTTCGGAGTCCCTGACCGTCTGCTCACGATCATTAAAGACCTTCATGATGGTGAGCGGGCCCGGGTAAAACTACGTGGCCGGGAGTCAGAGCCTTTCCCTGTACACCTTGGGGTGCGACAGGGATGTCCTCTGGCTCCCACATTATTTAACATCTATTTCGACTGTGTAGTTCGTGAAGCCTTCAATAGCTGGTACAGATATAATGGGAGGCTGATCGACACCCGGGTGCGATCAAGGGATGGCTCCCTATTGGTCAACCACGTTATGTATGCCTATGATTTGGTAATAGCTGCTCATTCAGAAGAGGAGTTGGAGACACTGCTGCTGAGACTGGAGCGTGCCACGAAGAGGTGGGGCCTTACCATCAGCTCCACCAAAATTAAGCACCTGCCTGGGTATTTTGTACCATCGGACACTCCACCCCCACAACTCCCAATCGGTGATGGGGCAGTTGTGGAGAGAGTGGAGAGTTTCGCATACCTGGGCAGTGTACTTATGACCGGCTCCAGTTTATCAGCAGAGGTCTCTCTCCGAATCAGTCGAGCGGCAATATCTTTTCATCGGTTGCGTCATTCCCTCCCTTCTCTACGCTTGCGAAACGTGGACCCCCCTAATGGAGCATCTTCGTCGGTTGGAAACATTTAGGCTGGCCTGCCTACGATCCATCCTGGGTTTAACCAGGCTGGATTGTGTGAGGAGCTCACAAATCCTTAAAAGATCTGGGCAAGTCCCATCGGTGAGCTCCTCCGGCAGGCAAGGCTGCGTTGGCTGGGTCATGTAGCCCGCATGCCCAGCTACCGCATGCCTAAACAGCTGTTGTTCGGCCGGATCGAGGGGGCTAAACGGGCGCGGCACGGGCTAGAGAAGAGATGGAGTGATGTGGTACAGGAGGACGTGGAGCTGAGTGGACTTGCCGATGACTGGAACCAGCGGTGTCAAGATAGGCCTCAGTGGAGGAGGCTCGTGAAGGACGCTACTGGGCAGTTGGAGGCAGTCGCCCTCCAACAACAACGGAGGGCGGAGGAGCGACGCTCACAACAACGAGCGGAGCGCCGGGTGGCTAAAGCACAGCGAGTTGGTACAGTAGGGGGCACAGGTGGTGCATCAGCCAGTCATCTCGGTCATCTCGGTCAGTCAACCCGTGGCACCTGCTGGGTCTGCCCCGTGACCTCCTGCCAGCGGGCGTTTGACACTTCACGTGGCCTCAAGGTGCACTTGGCCTGGCACAAGCGTCGTGGTGATGTCACCGCCACTTAGTGGCGAATGGCGGTTGTTGTTGTTGTTGTGTGCGTGTCTGTATCTGTGTACATGTCTCTGTCTCTCTGTCTGTGTGTGTCTGTGCGTGTCTGTGTGTCTCTGTGTGTCTATGTACATGTCTCTGACTCTCTGTGTCTGTGTGTGTCTGTTTGTCTCTGTGTCTGTGTGTCTATGTACATGTCTCTGTCTCTGTCTCTCTGTGTTCAGACCGTCTTGGCGTGTCCGACTGGCGCCGCGTGGACCAGCTGCAGGAGCAGTGCGCACTCGCCCTGCAGATGATTATTACACTGAACCACCCAGCTCCTGCAAACAGGTGAAGTGTAGTGTGTGTGGTGTAGTGTAGTGTGTGGTGTAGTGTGTAGTGTAGTGTGTGTAGTGTATAGTGAAGCGTGGTGTGTAGTGTGTGTAGTGTAGTGTGTGTAGTGAGTGATTGGTTGAGTGAGTGAATGGGTTGAGTGAGTGGGTGAGTGAGTGGATGAGTGAGTGGGTGAGTGGATGAGTGAGTAGGTAAGTGGTTGAGTGTGAATGAGTGTGTGAGTGGGCGAGTGAGTGGATGAGTAGGTGAGTAAGTGGTTGAGTGAGTGAATGAGTGTGAGAGTGGTTGAGTGAGTGAGTTAATGGGTGAGTGGATGAGTGGTTGAGTGGGTGAGTGGTTACGTTGATCTGTGTGTCTGTATCTGGCTGTGTAACTGTGTCTGTCTGTGTGTCTGTGTGTCTCTGTGTGTGTCTATGTCAGCCAGTCTGTATCTGAGTGTCTGTGTGTCTGGGTGTGGGTCTGTGTGTGTGTGGAGAGTTTCCCATACCTGGGCAGTGTGCTCCTGACCCGCTCCGGTTTAACAGCAGAGGTCTCACTCCGAATCAATCGAGCGGCATTATCTTTTCATCAGTTGCGTAACGCTGTGTGGAAGCTACCTGGTCTGTCGCTCCGCACGAAGCTTCGGGTCTTCTCGGCCACAGTCATTCCCTCCCTTCTCTACTCTTGCAAAACGTGGACCCCCCTAATGGAATATCTTTGCCGGTTAGAAACATTTAGGCTGGCCTGCCTACGATCAATCCTTGATTTAACCAGGCTGGATTGTGTGAGGAGCTCACAAATCCTCGAAAGACCTGGGCAAAGTCCCATCGGTGAGCTCCTCCGGCAGGCAAGTCTGCGTTGGCTGGGTCATGTAGCCCGCATGCCCAGCCACCGCATGCCTAAACAGCTTTTGTTCGGCCGGATCGAGGAGGCTAAACGGGCGCGGCACGGGCTAGAGAAGAGATGGAGTGATGTGGTACAGGAGGACGTGGAGCTGAGTGGACTTGCCGATGACTGGTACCAGCGGTGTCAAGATCGGCCTCTGTGGAGGAGGCTCGTGAAGGACGCTACTGGGCAGTTGGAGGCAGTCGCCCTCCAACAACAACGGAGGGCGGATGAGCGACACTCACAACAACGAGCGGAGCGCCGGGTGGCTAAAGCACAGCAAGTTGGTACAGTAGGGGGCACAGGTGGTGCATCAGCCAGTCATCTCGGTCAGTCCACCCGTGGCACCTGCTGGGTCTGCCCCGTGACCTCCTGCCAGTGGGCGTTCGACACTTCACGTGGCCTCAAGGTGCACATGGCCTGGCACAAGCGTCGTGGTGACGTCACCGCCACTTATTGGCGAATGGCAGTTGTTGTTGTTGTTGTAGGTGTGTGTAGGTGTGTGGGTTTTATTTTATTTTACTTTTTAATGTTTTTACCTACGTGACTTTACCGAAAAAGCCTAAGAATATGTGTGTAGGTGTTTGTGTAGGTATGTGTCTGTGCATGTGTCTGTATGTGTGTGTCTGTATCTATGTATCTGTGTGTTTGTGCATGTGTCTGTGTGTGTGTCTGTATGTGTGTGTCTGTATCTATGTCACTGTGTGTCTGTGCGTGTGTGTCTGTATGTATGTGTCTGTATCTATGTCACTATGTGTCTGTGTGTGTGTATGTGTGTGTGTCTGTATGTGTGTGTGTCACTGTGTGTCTGTGTGTGTGTATGTGTGTGTGTCTGTGTATGTGTGTGTGTCACTGTGTCTGTGTGTGTGTCTGTGTATGTGTGTGTGTCACTGTGTCTGTGTGTGTGTATGTGTGTGTGTCACTGTGTGTCTGTGTGTGTGTAGTGTAGCGGTTAGCGCGCTGCACTACGAACTTGGCGACTCGGGTTCGATTCCCGCTCACGGCAAACACCAGTGACGATTATCTGAACCGGTCCTGGGCCTCCCCTAGGTCGACTCAGCCTCAAATGAGTACCTGGTGCGGTGTGTAAACATCGCCGCTAGGGAGGCAAAGGCGGTCGGGCGTGGTGCTGGCCACCCACCCCCTCGTGTACCGTTCCGGCCTTCATAGGTGCTCGCTAACAGCACTTGCCCCTACAGTCTATTAAGGCTATACGGGGGATCTTTGTCTGTATCTATGTCACTGTGTGTCTGTGTGTGTGTCTGTGTATGTGTGTCACTGTGTGTCTGTGTATGTGTGTCACTGTGTGTCTGTGTGTGTGTCTGTGTATGTGTGTGTGTGTCACTGTGTGTCTGTGCGTGTCTGTATGTGTGTCTGTATCTATGTCACAGTGTGTGCGTGTGTGTCTTTATGTGTGTGTCTGTATCTATGTCACTGTGTGTTTGTGCGTGTGTCTGTGTGTGTCTGTATGTGTGTGTCTGTATCTATGTCACTGTGTGTGTCACTGTGTGTGTGTGTGCGTGTCACTGTGTGTGTGTCTGTGTGTCTGTGTGTGTGTCTGTATCTATGTCACTGTGTGTGTATCTGTGTCACCATGTGTCTGTGTCTGTATGTGTGTGTCTGTATCTATGTCACTGTGTGTGTCTGTGCATGTGTGTGTCTGTGCGTGTGTGTGTCTGTGCGTGTGTGTGTCTGTGTGTGTGTCTGTGTGTGTGTGTGTCTGTGTCTGTGTGTGTGTCTGTGTCTGTGTGTGTATATGTGTGTGTCTGTATCTATGTCACTGTGTGTCTGTGTGTGTGTCACTGTGTGTATATGTGTCTGTGTGTCTGTGTGTGTCTGTGTGTCTGTGTGTGTGTGTGTCTGTGTGTGTGTGTATGTTTGTGTCTGTGTGTGTGTATATATGTCTGTGCGTGTGTGCAGGACTCTGTTTGCAAGGGTCGTGGGCAAGTTGGTGCAGCTGCGCTCCATCTCGGCCGAGCACTCTCGCCAGCACCTCCACTTTCAGAGCTCCCAGGCGGCTTCTCTCACCCCTCTCATCAGCGAGATCTTCGCCTGGCCACCGGACGCTACGTGACACCTTCAGGAAAGAGAGTGAGAGGCAGAGAGAGAGACGGAGAGAGACAGAGAGAGGCAAAGAGAGAGAGAGACAGAGAGAGACAGAGAGAGACAGAGAGAGGCAAAGAGAGAGAGACAGAGAGAGACAGAGAGATACACAGAGGGAGACAGAGAGAGACAGAGAGAGACAGAGAGAGACAGAGAGAGACAGAGAGACAGGTAAAGATACAGAGAGAGAGACAGGTAAAGATACAGAGAGAGAGACAGGGAGAGAGACACAGAAACAGAGACACAGTTTGAGAGACAGATAGACAGAGAGGGAGACGTAGATGGAGACATAGACTTTTGATGTTTAACTTTTAATACATTTTATTGATTCTACGTCAATGCCAGCATCCAGTGACCGTTACACTCGTACGCAGCGTCAGTGTCGATAACAACAAAAAGCTCTTCATCACACATGACCGGGCATCGTCTCTGAGAGAGAGGAGGCAGGAGTGGGAATTAGAACACATTATTTACAATTGTGCATAGGGTGTACCTGCCGCTCCCCCCCCGGCATGACCGTAGTTCGCGTGCTCCAGCCTTAGCCGTGCTCTTTTGCCCGGGCGACGCACACGAAGTTAGCGATGTCGCGTGCCTGTTGCCACTCGTCACGGCCAACTGCGTACGCGAACGCAGTTTCGTAGAAAGGGATGTCCGGCCTCCTGAAGGATTCGTGCTAAGAAGCGGAATAGTGGGTCAAGCCGTTGGCACTCGAGGTATTGGTGGGCGAGATCCTCTCTCTCATTCCGCAAAACGCACACACAGCGGGTCCCTGGTGAGGCTCGGCTGAGAACTATCCCCTCCATTTTGTGTCAGGTCCTGGAAATGCAGCGCCATCACACAGGCGGCGGTGCGCAGCGTCTTTTTGCGAGCCTCCCTCAACGAGACGTCTCTGCATCCCTCCACTTTCAAGAGCTTTCCCCTGTCCTTGCGATCGGAGGAGGGCACCAATGCTTCTTGCCTGCTTGCCTGCTGCGGGGCCGCCCTTAGCCTTGCCCTATCGCGACGCTGAATCTGCGTGGTCAGCCACAGGGTCAGCGTGGTCCTGCTGCTGCTGCTTTGGCTTCTGCTGCTGCCGCCCCTGCTGCTGCTGCGGTTGTTTATGCTGCTGCTGTTGCTGCTGCTGCTGCTGCTGCTCCGCCTTTATCCTGGTGCAGCCTGAGCACCGTTCTCCTTCACCTTGGCCGGGCGACTTTTCCGGGCGTGGCCGGCACCACCACACCCACAACGCCGCGGCACGGCTGTGGAGGCAGTCCACCGTGTAGCCGTGACCATCGATCGTGCACTCGCGGGTCACGTCTTGGTCCGTGTCGCCGCCCTTCAAAACTGTCGTCAAGGTTTGCCGCTGAAGCGACTTGACGTGCGCCAGCTTCGGACCCCTCGTCCTCAAGGGCAGCAGCACGACGATGCGCGAGACCGCCGTGGCGAAGCGTCGCAGGTCTCGCTGCAGGTCGGCGCCTTTAAGGAAGGGCGGCGTGCCGGGGAGAAGCACCCTGACGGCGGGCCTAGAGAGCGGGGTGCATGGCACAAACTGCTCCACCCCGACGTTGAGCCCCGTGTCTCCACGAGGCACGCCACCACTGCTCCCCTCGTCCACGTAAACGGCCACGTAGACGACCACGTAGACGACCACGCCGCGGTTTTGCCGTTAGGCGTCGAGGACACCCGCCTGGCCGACAAGCTCGACAACCGTGGCGACGACGGCTTCGACGGCGATCTCGGGCGGAGTAAAACAAATGTCTGCCGTTCCTCCACGAGAGAGATTCAAGCTTGGTGTACTGCGCCATGATGAACGGCAGCAGTACACCAGCGCACGACGACCACCCTGTGCAATGCCGTCACATCCTGCGCGCCGTTAACCACCGCGCACACGTCGTCCGCATACGCCGAGACCCTGACGACAGCATCCCTGCCTGACACCCCTCGTGAGCACAAGACGGGCACGGAGCCGATTGTTCAGCTTCTGGAGGCTAGAAACGTTTGTCTGGAGGAGCCTCACGTACGAAATAAAACCCCCGGCAAAACCCAAAGGATCTCAGCGCCGCGTACAGGTAGTCGTGGCTGACCCGGTCTTCTCTTGATCGAGGAAGAGCAGGCCAGTGTCCCGGCCACGGGTGGCCGCCATGTCGACCACGTCCCTGACCACCCCGATGTTGTCATGGATAGACTGCCCCGGGATACAGTACGTCTGTTCCGGCTGGATGATTTTCCCGGCTGCGCCCTTCAACCGGGTGACCAAAGCCTTTGCGACGATTTTGTAGTCCGTGTTTAGCATGGACACCGGCCGCCAGTTCATCACGAGGCGCAAGTCCCCAGCTCCGCTTCCAGCGCCAGCAGCTCATTCCATAGCCGCTCTTCCTGTTTCTGCCGAGCTACGGCGTTCTGGCTCACAAACTGCTGGCATAGTGACCCTACCTTCACCTTCCCATTATCCCACCATTGCCGGAGCGAGTCAAAGGTGCCCTTAGGTGTTACCCCCACCTTCCAGAAGGCTCTGAAGGCCCCCTGGAAGTCCGCATTCTCTAAGAGTTGCAGCTTGAACCGCCCGTAGGGACTGCGCTGCCCAACAAGGGGGAGGAGTAAGCGTATCGTAACCAGATGGTGGTCGAAAAACCCGTACGGGACAACTCGCCGAGCAGGATGGCACCGCCGGCATTCACGTAAAGGTGGTCCAGCTGCGCGAGGCTGATCCACCCCTGAGCACCACACCAGCTCCACGTGTACTGCCTCTGGGCCGGATGTCGCAGGCGCCACGTGTCGAGCAGGTTTAGCCTCCGCACCATGTCGGCCAACGCCCGCGCAGACTCCGGCTGAGGCTCGGCGCCATTATGGTCGAGTGCCGGGTCGAGGGTGCAGTGGAAATTACCCCCGACGACCGTGAGCCCTTCGTCCGGGTCGGCTGCCTCCAGGGCGTCCTGCAGCGCGCCCGAGAAGAAGAGCAGCTTTCTCCCACGACTCACGCTCGGAGCAGACAAGTTGACCAGCCGCAGCCCCATTGGTACCTCATTTGCCAGTAAAAAATATGATAATTGTTTTTTTACCCTTTTATCTGGCAACAAAACTGACACCTTTTTTTTACGAGGAGTCATGTTTGCATAGACCACAATACCTGCAGTCATAATGCAAACAAAAAACATAACTCTGATAATGTATGCACTGTCCTTGAAGTTTATTGGTCCACACCCGAGACAGCTTTTCTTAGAGCCTAGTCTCACATGGTGTTGGACCAGATGACGCAAAAAGGCGCACAACTCAAAGACAATGCACCATCAGAGTATGAGAGCTTGGGGTAAGCATTTCCAACCTTGGTACCTCATTTGCCAGTAAAAAAAAATGATAATTGTTTCTTTACCCTTCTATCTGGCTACAAAACTGACACCTTTTTTACGAGGAGTCATGCATTATTACTGCAGGTATGGTGGTCTATGTAAACATGACTCCTCGTAAAAAAAGGTGTCAGTTTTGTTGCCAGATAAAAGGGTAAAAAAACAATTATCAGCCGCAGCCCGGCATCACCGAGCACAAAATCCGCCGCCATCAGGTGCCCCTTCACCATCTCCTTAAAGGTCACGTGGTCAGGAATGGACTTTGGGCCGCACACAATCGCGACCCCCGCCTGGTTGGCCTCACGGCGGCGAAAGAAGGTCCGGCCGCCCATGAGGTGTCGTCATCGAGCCTGCAGAGTGGCGTCGAGGTGCGTCTCTTGTAGGAGCGCCACTTCGACCTTTAGGCCATCAAGAAAATGACAGACGCGGCGCCACCTCTCGTCACTACGGGCGCTATTACAATTCAGCCACACGGACACGTGACGGCATGCCAATAGGTATCGGGCGTGGCCACCGGTGATCACTTAGGAAGGGGAGCGCACCCCTTCTTCAGTTTTTGCACCAACGCCTTCAGGCGATAGCATTCCTGGGGGGGTGAACGCAAACTTCCGTGGCTCACAGCAGATCTTTTGTGCAGCCTTCAGGAACCCCATCATGTCGGGGAAGGAGGCCTCGACGTTGACCCCCCGCATCCTGTAGGTGGCCTGGAGGAAGCGGAGGATCTCGTCGGGAGCATATTCCCTCTCCCCCTTGACTCCTGAGAAGCTCAGCTTGCTCAAGTTCCTGCTCCTGGGCCAGGCTCCGTCATGCATCCAGGAGGCTCCGGTGGAAGGCCGGCAGCCCCGCGTAGTCGACCCGGGCCAGATCCAGCAGAAACAGCTCTCTCCCGTAGCCCAGGCAGCCCCCGGCGGCCCTCAGCAGGGCGAGGGCAGGTGCCATCCAGGGCAGGGTCTCCTTTACGTACAGCAGTCGCTGCACGGTTTGCAGCCTGAAGGTCATAATCCTGGTGGAGACATCCACCAGGCCCTGGCCTCCACCGCCCGACATAGCGCAGATACATCATGCATGTCCATGACGACTACGCACAAGTCATCCACGTACGCCGACACCTTGACGACCGCCGCCTCGGGGCCCGGCACCCTGTACCCCGTCAGGGAGAGCTGGAGGCGGCGCACGAGGGGCTCGATAGACAGGGCGTAGAGGAGGCCCGAGAGCGGGGCCACCCGTGCCTGACTCCACTTTCCACGGGGAAGGGGGTGCCAAGCCGCTGGTTGATCTTCAGCAGGCTCGACACGCCCACGTACAGGAGCCGCACGTTGCGACCTGAATGCCGGCCTAAACCCGTACGAGGCGAGCAGTTCCTCCAGGAAGCGGTGACTGACCCGGTGGAAGGCCGTCTCCTGGTCAAGGAAGAGGAGGCCCAAGTCCGTGCCGTCCCTCCCCGCCAGGGAGATTACGTCCCTGACCGTGCTCACGTTGTCGTGTAAGCATCGGCCAGGGACGCAGTAGGTTTGTTTGGGTCGAACAAGCTGGCCCACCACCGACTTGAGGCGATTGGCCAGCACCTTCGCGAAAATTTTGTAGTCTGCACATAAGAGGGACACCGGCCGCCAGTTCTCGATGCGGCGCAGGTCTCCCTTCTTTGGCAGCAACGTGACAACGGCCCCCCGGCAGTTCTACGGGAGCACCCCCTTCTATTGGCTCTCCGCCAGGACCTCCAGCAGGTGCGGCGTGAGGTCGTCCCAGAAGGTCGCGTAGAATTCGTCCGGCAGGCCGTCGATCCCCGGGGCTTTGCTGGCCGCGAGCTCTCTCATGGCGGTGTGGAGCTCCTCCAGTGTGACGGGGCCCTCCAGGCGCTCGCTCTCGGAGTCCTCGAGAGCACGGCACGAATCCCCAGCCTGGAATAGGTTGGAGTAAAACTCCATCGCAAACCTGGCAATCTGGCCCCCCGCCGCAGCTGTCTCCCCCCTGGGGTCTGCAAACACGAAATTACGCCGTTGTTGTGGGATTTGTGTTGCAGCCGAAAGAAGAACTTAGATGGGGAGGCCATGTGCGTCAGGCGCTGCATTTGTCGTTGTACAAACAAGCCGTTCGCCTGACTGGTCCGTGATGGCCCTGAAGAGCCGCTGCTTCTCCAACAGCACTCTGCCCTTGTCGTCGCGTGCGTCCTGGGAAATAGATCCCAGCTCCGCCTCGAGGAGCAGTAGCTCGTCCTGTAGGCATCCAACCGCATCCTCCTTGGCAGAGGCATGCTGGCCCCGGAGTTGCAGGCAGAGAGCCCGTACCTGCGCCTTCACGTGGTGCTACCACCACCGCAAGACACAGTCAAAGCCGCCCCTGGCGGCCACCCAATGAGCCCAGCAGGCCCTAAAGGTCTCCTTGAAGGCTGCGTCCTCGAGCAGCCGAACGTCTAAGTGCTGCAGCGCCTCTCCCTGGGGACACGCAGCAGCACCGAGACCATGTGGTGGTCCAAGAACCCGGACGGTATGATCTTGCTTTCGACGAGCAGGTTGGCATTCGCGGCGTCGACGTACAGCCGATCCAGCCTAGCGAGGCCTATTCTTCCCCGAAAGTCGCAGCGACACCACGAGTACTGCCGCTGCATTGGTCGGTGCAGTCACCACGCATCCAGCAGCCTCAGCCTCCGCACCATGTCGGACAACGCCCGCGCCGATTCCAGGTGAGGCTCGGCGCCATTACGGTCGAGGGCTGGGTCGAGGGTGCAGTTGAAATCGCCCCCCACGACCGTCAGCACGTCGTCCATGTCGTCCGCCTCCAGGGCATCCCGCAGCGTGCCGGAGAAAAAGAGTCCCCTTTCACGACTCTTGCTCGGCGCATCCTGGTGCCATTGAAGGCAAAGTCTGCCGATATTAAATGTCCTCTCACGATCTCCCTGAAGGCATTCGGGGACAAAGTCTGGGCCGAACATGATCGCGATGCCTGCACGGTTCTCTTCGCCGTGGCTGAAAAATAGACCGGCCGCCCAGGAGGTGCTGTCGCTGGTCCTGCAGAGCGTTGTCGAGGTGTGTGTGTGTCTCCTGCAGGAAGGCCACGTCGATCTTTTGATCTTTCACAAAGCAGCACACGCGGTGCCATCTCCTGTCACTGCGCTGTTACAGTTCAGGGTGGCTATCCTGACTCCCGAAGCCATTGTGATGGGTGTGGGGAGTGACGGCACAAACGCACTACGGAGGGGAGGCGATCTCCCTCCCACCTTCTGCACCAGCGCCTTAAGCCGGTAGCCTTCCTGCGGGCTCAAGCCGTACTTCTGCGGCTCCCGATGGATCTTCTGTGCCGTCTTCAAGAAGCCCGGCACATCGGGGAAGCAGGCTTGGACGCAGACTCCACGCTTCCTGAAGGTGGATTGAAGAAAGCATAGGACGGTGTCGGGTGCGTATTCCCGCTCCCCCGCAACCCCCGAAAAACTCATGTCGCTGGCGCCGTCACCTCCTCCGTCGAACCGCACGGAGCCGGGGTCTCGCCAGGCTCGGGGTGGCCTCTGCGGCCTCCTCCTCGTCGCGCGACGAGGCGGGTAGAATGACACCCTCGGGCACCGTGGCTGCCACCTCCTCCATCGCGCCGCCTAGAGCCGGGGTCCCACCCGGCTCGGAGCGCCTCTAGTCCGCGGGATCCGCGGCCGTCGGCGCCGTCGGGCGATGGGGTGGGCGGGGTGGCCCCCTCGGGTGCCGTGGCGCCATCAGGCGCGGCGGTGGCCTGCGGCCCCCCCCTCCAGTCGTGCCGGTGCGGTTGAGGCCGGGTCCGATGGTTGTCCCCTGTCCTCGCGATCGGAGGGGGCGGCGCAGGAGAAAGTCAGCGCGGCAGCAACAAAAATAAAGCCAAAAAAATAAACCAACAACAGTAATAATAGTGCTACCACTTCAGGCTGGAAAACGGAGAGAAACGCGCAGGATGACGACGCATTTCTCCCCCGTTTACCTCTCTCTAGGCCAGGCTCAAGCTCTCAGCTGAGCCTAGGCCTCCGTCCGCGCACCTGTTAGAGCAAGAGCGACCAGCAGGTGTGGCCTCTCCCAACGGTGGCAGAGAGAGAGAGAGACTTTGACTTTTAAAACGGTTTTATTGCTGTGGCAGCAATTGTGCCGTAGCCACTTTTTGCATTCAAAGTTGTCCATGGCCGAAGACCATGATGCTCATTACAGCGGGTCAAACAGAATCCACCAAGGACACAAGGACACAAAACCTACAAGGAGTCATGGCACATGCGCCACTCACTCATGCGCGCGCATGCCACTCGCTCGCACGCGCCACGCCGCCACTCCCGCGCCGCGCCGTCGTGTGCGTCACACCACCCGGTGCTCTGCACCTCCGCGCGCGGGTCGCTCCTTCGGGCTGTCGGGCCGCCGCTCGTGCCGCGTCATTGGTCCGCCGCGCGTGCCGCGTCTCCAGGTGTGTCACACCGCCGCACGCGCACCCCGCCGCCGAACAACTGCACGGGCTACTCCGCCACGCGCGTGTAGTTCCCACCACGCGTCTGCCGTCCGCCTCGACCAAACCGTTCAGATCATAAGCTTCAGTATGCCGCTTTTGCTAGTGCAGAGGGCTCGCCCGGCCCCCCACTTGTCCTGGAACACGTTATACTCGCTCCCTACCTGGCCGTAGTATTCGTGTTCCAGTCGGAGCCTCGCTCCCAGCAGGCCTCTCATCATCGCCACCACCGAGCAGCCCTCGTCCGTGGTTGTGTTACTTTGTAACCTTTTTTTCCGCGTTTTGTAGATGGCCATTTTTGCCTGAGCGAGCACAAAATTCGCCAGGTTATGGCGCTTGTTCGCTCTATACGGCACTCCGCATATAAGGCTGCTTTTGAAGAAAGGCACTCCTAGCTTTCTAAAGATGGATCCCAGCATTTTCAATAGTGGCGTCAGTCTCTGGCATTCCATATAGATCTTCCCTTTCGCCGCAGAACACACACGAGTCGGACGCTCCCGGGGTGATTTTCTTGACCCACACCGCTGAGGGCAGTGCCCAGTGAGCCAGCCTCCATTGGAGGTCCCCGCTTCGTTTCGCCACGGGGGGTTTGTATAGTTCTTTCCACTGAGGAGAAGTGTCAATCAGTGGGGAGAAGGTGTCTCTCCATTTCGTGCTCGGTAGGTTTTCCAGAGCTCAGGGATGTAACATTTTTATGCAGCAGCCGTATAGTGCTGTTTTGGAGGCGCCTTTGAGAGTCACGTTTCCGCAGTCCACGAGTTTGAGCAGCATGCCTGCATCGCATCGCCCTGGGGGCTGGATGCAGGCAATGCATAGCTCTGGGAAGGCGGGGGGGGGATGGTTGGTTGGGCGGCGCCGGTGTCTTTGGGTGCGTGTAGTTGTAGTTGCAGGGTCCGTATTGCCGAGAGTGTTTCGCGTAGTATTTTCTCTCCGGCCAACATGGTGCGGAGGCCTGCGGTGCTGCTTATGTCGGCCGCGTTTTTCCACTTGTGGCCGTCATGGTTTTTCACCAGATCGCCTACCGTTCGTATCCCGGCTGTGGTGAATCGCAGAGCCATTGTTTTTTCCTCACTGATTCCCCTGAAAAGGTTGTTGAAAAACAGGGGCTCGGTCAGGAAGGTGTTAATGCTGCAGTACGGGCTCGCCCTGTCTCACTTAAGGCTTCGCCACGCCTCCGCTAGGCTCCGATAATATTGTGGTAACCCTCTGCAGTCGACTAGAGCTAGGTCCATAAGGAATAATTCTCTCCTGTATCCCAGGTGTCTGCCCGCGTGTCTTAGCAGGGCAAGGGCCAGCGACTTCCATGGTGCTTATTCTCGGTCGTATAGTAGGCTCTTCACGGCCTGGAGTCTGAAGCACATGACTCGGGCGGCGACATCTGTTAGACCTTGGCTGCCTTCATTCAGTGACAGGTGGAGAACTCCTGGTTTTAACCAATGTTTGCCAGCCCAAACAAAAAGGGTGAGCGACCTGTTTTCCTTTGACAGTAGCCATCCTGGAGGGTCGAGAGTTTTGGTCCTGTGCCAGAGGACAGAGGCAGCCAGGTTGTTTGCGATGAGTGTTCTTCCCCGGAATGACATGTGTGGGAGGAGTCGTGCCCACGCTTTCAGTTTTAGGATGCTGTGTATGTTGGTGTATAAGAGTTTTACGTGTGTTATGAAGGTTGGTCCAAATCCAAGAGAGAGTAATAGCTTTCCAAGGTATGCGTGGTTCACCCTGTCGAATGCTTTTTCTTGGTCCATGAATAGGAGGCCTGAGTTTGTTTTGCATGTCTGCCAAGGATATTACGCCCCTTACCGTGCTTATGTTGTTGTAGATGCAGCGGCCGGGGACGCAGTAGGTTTGTTCTTGTTGTACTATTTGACCTGCCACCATTTTCAGGCGGTTTGCTATTGCTTTGGCGATTATCTTGTAGTCAGTACATAGGAGGGACACGGGCCGCCAGTTTTCTATTTGCCGCAGGTCTCCCTTTTTGGGCAGCAGCGTTATCACTGCCCTCCTGCAGCTCAACGGGAGCTCTCCCTTTCGCAGGCTCTCTGCCAGCAGCTCCAGCAAACAGGGGCCGAGCTCGTTCCAAAAGGCTGCGTAGAATTCTACCGGTAGCCCATCAATTCTTGGGGATTTTCCCATGGGCAGCCCCTTCATCGCGACGTGTAGTTCCTCCAGGATGATGGGGGTCTCTAGTCCTTCTCTCTCTGCATTCCCCAGGGTGGGGGGCCCCCTTCTAACAGTTTTTCCACCGCTTCCTCCTGTGTGCTTTCTTCTTTGAGCAGTTTGGAGTAGAAATTTCTGGCGATCTTCATGATTTTCTCCTCGGCGGTTATTACTCCTTCTGGGGTCATCAGGCTCAAGATGTTATTGCCGCTGCTCGAGGGGTTGTTGTTGTTATTATTGTTGTTGAATCGAAAAAAATACTTGGAGGGTGAGTCCGCGTGTATGAGGTGCTGCATCCTTTTTCGTACAAAGGAAATGTGTGCTTGTTGATCTGTGATGGTTCTGAAAAGCTGCTGTTTCTCTAGTAGCAGCAGTGGCCCGCTTCCGTCGTCGCGTGTGTCTCGAGTTGAGCCCATCTCAGCCTCTAGCTGCAACAGCTCATTCGCCAGGCGCTGCACCGCATCACGCTTGACGGCGGCGCGCTGGCTCATGAGCTGTAGGCAAAGAGCTCTGACTTGCGCCTTTACGCTCTCCCACCATTGCAGGCTGGAGTCGTAGGTGCTTTCGGTTTTTTTCCAATGTGGCCAGCAGGTCTTAAAGGCCTCCCTGAAATTTTTCTCTTCTAGTTGTTGCACATCGAGCCTCCAGTAAGGGCAGCGACGTGGCTCTCTGGAAACTCGCAGCAGCGTCGAGATCAAGTGATGATCGGAGAAGCCGGACGGGTTTATTTTACTGTTGTTGTATATGTTGGGTTGTGAAAATTTGTTATGTTGTATGCGTGCGTGGGTGAAATTATTATGTTGTATATGTGGGTTATGAATATTCAGTGAAAATAATAATAATTAAATGAAATTTGGCCAAATGTGTAATTATCCGGAAATATGTTAATTTATGTAATTACGCACATTTTAATTATGCCAATTCGAGAGGTAATCGTATTAATTATGCGAGTGGGTGTAATTATGATAACGCAAGTCGTTATGATAACCAGACCCCGGTTCACCCCGTTATCGCTTTAACATTTACTGAGTATGTATTAGTGTGTTTATTAAGGTCACCAAGTTCAAATCTCAACGCAGAAGCAGATCTTATGCATAGATTTCAGGAAAGAATCACACAACCACTTCTGTATTGATCAATTTATTACTAATTCAACCTTAACTATGATATAGTATGCGAACTCTCAATCCCTGAACGTCAATACGGCATCAATACAGTATCATCAACGATTGTCTGATTTCACTTTGACAACGGCACATGGATCCCGCATAACGCGATGGTTGTTAGTGAGAGAGAGAGTCGTTAAAACATGCAAATACTATGCTAAGAAAACCTTAACGTTAATGAATGATTATACTCAATATTGTTCACGCAGTACCGCACTCCTTATTGATCATACGCAACCCTTATCACGTTGTTAGCACCTTGGGTCACGGAACAGTTGAATATTCTGTAGAGGATGCGAGTACGTGCGGCGATTATGACTGAAAGATACTTGAAAGATTATACGGCGATAAAAAAAAACACAATCAAAAACAGTTATTATTCTTAAAGGCACCAATCTCAACAGATACATCGGCAGGTTATCTGACAACAGAACGGCTCGGAGTAAGGGCCTGCGACGGTGCTCCTTTTCCGAAGCTCGTTATCTTATACCAAGTTTACTAATTGGGGACCAGATCACCTGATAAGGGTCCGGTGGGCCACCACTCCCCACGTGAGCGTGGCTCGGCGGAAGGAGGTGCCAAGAATCAGTTCGTATTGATGGATCTGTTGGGAATTTATGCGATTAAGAGTACAGCCCACTAAATATTAAAGATAAAAATTAAGAATACTCTTATAAACGACGGAGGGCCATCACTCGGTCTCGTTGTGATGCTTTCCAGCCACGGATGGCTTATGGGTTCGAGTGTTTTTGAGTGGTAAGAGTTGTCTTGAATAGTCAGTGTTCGGAGTCGATTCTTTAGGTCAAACAGACGCCTGGTGGTCGTGTGGTGAGGGGGCGGTGCGCGTCATACTTATCAGGCGCTCCCCTGTCACCGTGGTGAATTGGCTCGGATGGCTGTTGATACGCTGTCGCAGTTCGGAACCCGGTCGGTAGGTGGCGCCCACAACTCGCTCGTAGCGTGCAGCGCTGGATCGTCGCCAAGTCGCGACGCTCACCACCGGCGGCAGCGGAGATCTCCGGCGGCAGCAGAGATTGACGAGCTGAAGATGAGTCGAGCCGACCCGCTGGTCGCAGCTCGCTCCTGAGTCGACCCTCCCGGTCGAGCTCGCTCCTGGGTCGACCCGCTGGTCGCCCTCGCTCCTGAGTCGACTCTCTGGTCGCACTCCTGAGTGGACCCACTGGTCGCACTCCTCCTGAGCCGACTCCCCCGGTCGAGCTTCTGAGTGGACCCTCCCGTCGCACTGGTTTCCAATGCTCAGGATCCTTTACTTTATGCCGAAAATTCCCCCTGGATCCCGCCCACAAGGCGGGGCTTCTTCCGATTTTTGCTGTGTCAGGATCTGTCCGTAGGCAGGTGTGTCCATGTGTCTGTCCGTATGTCCGTGTGTCCTTGTGTGCATCACTGACGGTATATTCGTTGTCACACCCCCTCCATAAAACCCACGAGCAAACAATCAGATGTTACAAATTGCCTCGAAGTCGTCTCTCTGTCTGGGTGCAATATTATCTCTTGTCTGGCCTTCTTCATGACCCAAAACACAGACGTTACAAATCGTCTCATAGGCATCTTTGTTCGTGTTGCACAACCTGGAGGGAGGGGCAACACTCTCTCCGACCCGGCGCACAAAGAAATGGTTAAAAAGTTTTAAGTTAACATTTGTCCCTTACTATTTCACAGTTATGATTCTGTATGTAACCTAAGGTCTGTCGTTTCCCATCGTGGTGCCCGACCCAAGTGTAGGTGTTTCCCCGAGCGTACACACACTCCTATCCCGCGCTGCGGGGATACAAAGACGGCCGGGATCTCCCTTTCTCTCCGACCCTGGGTTTAACATCGTTTTTTTTATTATGTATTATATTCGACCTGGTTGTGATTCATCCCGTTATCCTGGCTTTTCCATAAGTTTTACTTTGTCTTTTCATGCATATACTTATTACTATTAATTTATTTCCGATATCTTAGGTTAAGGGGTAAGTTTCTTGATCCTAGGAATTCGTATTCCTTGGTGCCTGGATGGTTATATAAGCGGAATATAGTTTATGGTGAATAGCGTTAACATTGATGTTATGTGCGATATTATGTATTGTGATGTCTTTAACTTAACTTGTTTGTCAGGGCTTTACTGACACGAAGTTGCATTCATAGCCCGCAGTCTTTGCCCCACCCTATCTCTGCTCGCCGTTGTTGTTGCCTGCCGTTAATTCAAGGCCTCATTAATTTCCGTCACTCCTGAGTAGGTGAGGGCGGTTGAACCTTGGAGTCAGTTCTGGTTTTTGTCTGCCTGCTTCTTCTTGTGTCCCCTGACCCCGGGAGTTATTATTCTACTTTATGGCCTGTCGAAGCCCCACTCGCTGTTGCTGGGCTGGTGTTGTTCCCGGCTTTTTGCTTACGTTTGCAGTTCGCCGTGCTCTTGATTTCCTTCCCTCTTCAACCTTATATTGACTATTCGCTCCTGTCTGGGTGCGATTCAATTTTGACTTAGGAAGGTTCTGATTGTCATATGCTTCGGGTCGAATTGTATAGAAAGTATTGAAGTATGGAAATAACATTTCATATTGACTTAATAATGGTGATGGTTCAGTAGGCGTAACTTGTGGCCTGGTTTAATTGGAGTGGGTGTGAATATCGATAACTTTAGCCTACCCTGTTGTTAAATTCCGACTTTAACGTTACTTTAATAGCAATACAGAATAATTGAGCTTTTTGTCTTAACTAGGCGAATGCGAACTTCTGGTGACCCCGCAGCCTTGTTGTTCAGCTGGGTCTGCCTCCTTGAGAGATATACACCACTCTTATTCTCGTCTCACTGTGGTCATCCAACCTTCTGCTCTGGGAGTGTTATTCTTACTTTCAGGTCAAAGGCCCCCTCACGTTCAGACGTGCAGGGTTGTTTACATCAGCTCCCCCCCTGTGCACGTGTTCTAACTAGCTCGGAATCCCTGAACACACAATCAGTGATGATTCCTGGCTTTCTGTGGTTGTGATTTAGACAAAGGCGCCTCTGTTTCTTCCATTGCCTTTGAGTCGACACTGCCCTATTATTTGCCCATGTGCTGAGGTCATAGAATTCGTTTTGACTTCAGTAATATTAACATTCAGTATTGGATTAGCAAATGGGCAATGGTTCATTTATGTAGCTCGCAGCCTGGTCTCCAATTTGAGCGAGCACGAGGATCGATAATTTAGCCTACTCTGTTGTTGAATTTCGAATTTTGACGTTACTTTAAAACCATGCAGGATGGTTGGGCTTTTTGCCTTAACGATGTCTGGCTGACACTCCCACTGTCTCTGCCGCCTGCACGGGTGACATGTGCCCGTTCATCAGGCCTTATCTTTCCTTGAAGCAAGGTTGCAAATTCTGCCATCCTAGCCCTCCTCCAGTTCATTACTTAACAACACCTGGTGTTTTGCAGTTTGCTGCGCTTGGTGTGTTTCACTCATTAAAAAACAAGTAAAAAGATAATATATATAAAAATCATCAAATATTATTAATCTCAATTATGGAAGAAGGGTTAGGATACAACATACCGCCCTTTTAAAAATGACCAGTGGTCAAATGGCCACGGGTTATTTTTAAAAAAAATGTATACCCTTCTTCCATCATGAACCATCGATTGTCCTCAAGTTTTGCTGCTATTCCTTACAACGCGCGCGTACGTGTCACAACTTAACATGGTTATTTGAATTGAGCAAAGAAAATTAAACAAGCGTTAAACATCGATATTGCGTTACATCGGTTCTGATACATCATGACTCCGACGAATATTCATTTTTGTTTTTGTTAAATCCTGGGAAACGCTAGGTAGCGGTTTCGAACGCATTTATGCGTTACCTTCCTCATGTTGCCTCGTTCACCACTTATCACTTCGATAATTCGATCACGGTTTTCGGGTTCGTTTTTGTAGTTTCCTCTCTGACTCTCTGTGTCGTGGGAGTGTGTGGTGAAAAATTGTGCTGCACATAACCAGAATTCGCGCACACGACCCACTTTGACACTTGGTTCGAGGCATTCGCTCTCTCTGCGATTACATGCACATTTGCCGAGTCAGTGTGTCGATTTAATTCTGTCCCTCGTAATGTTGCCCTCTTTGTTTTTACTAGTGTGTTGGATTTCAACACCATTCCCGATACGTCATGGACATTCGTCTCCATTTTAGCACTCCGATCCACATAATTTTTGGTTTCCCTTGGATATTTCCCATTCAAAGGCTCATGCCTGCGCTCCTCAGGGCGTGTCCCTGCTGTCTGTTTTTGTACTGTCCGATCACGCTTCAATTCAACCCTGTCCTTGTATTCGATCCGCGCGTCATTTACGGGAGCACTGTCCACGTTTTTGCCCGCCCTGTCACTTGCAGCCTGCCTGTATTTCACATTGAGCGCCGGGTTTAACACCTCGGCGGGTGTGGCGCGTATGGGCTGCCCGCTCTCAATCACTGTGGATGGTTCATCACGTATTTGGACCGTATTCTGTGTTATTCCTCTATTCCCTCCTGGTATAGCCGGTGGAGGAATTGGTCGGAATTGGATCGATTGTGTTTGACCTCCCATCCTGCGATTCTCGTGAATGTTCGCATCCATACCTCCGCGGTATGTGTAACACCTTCCCGCTAGGTGGTTATCTTCCCATCTCTGTGCGTAATTTGAAC